CTGTTTTTGACTTTTATCCGCCAAAATCTCAACTCGTACACTATTTATTGTCATAAATACTACACACAGTCACTGCTGTGATATTCATAGTCACAATGCATCCACTTTGGCACGACATAATAGACCTGTAAGTTCGAGAAAACGCGTTTTTACCGGAGCTTGGCTTGAACTGTTTACTACAGCGTGACAAGCAAGGAAATAATCCCTATTGTTTAGGAGCGTATTTATAGTATACCTGGGCCTTTAAACAAAGCATGGACAAAGGGAGGACATGTACACCTTGTGATGGTGTCAATTTCCTAACAGAGCACTGTCTGCCACTCGTGAACGGGGACATAACATGGGCATGGTAGTATCATGGAGGTACCTCCATGGTAGTATGTTATTATTATAAGACGAAAATCTGTATCTGTAAATTTTGTTACCATATGTACATCACTTCCCAAGTATGTGATTTGTTCCTAAATTAAAAAAAACAAAAACACGATTGAGTCTAATCCTACAAGACAGAAGTACACTAAAACATCATGCTCCATTGCTTGACCTGCATCTTATCCATATCCATCTAATCCGACGTCGATACTCCCCCACTCCATATACACACAGCACAGTAATATCACATGTTTTATGGTTTTCAAAAAAAGTTGGTGAAGCGATTATTTTCACTCAAATATATAACAACGCACATGTTTTGCTGGTTTAATCCGTCAACAGAGGGCGTTGTGCGGGCGAAATACTCGTACATAAAACGCTGACTAGAAACATTATTTTTTGGCCTAATCACTAAGGAATAATTATCTTCTCCGTGTACCAATACACGTCTGACATCTCAGTTGTTTTTCCGCTGACAGTTACGTTCACTAAAATCTCATTTCCACCTTAATTTGATGATAACAACACTTTAACATGGTATAAAAATCAATAACCTATCTTTCCGCATCAATCAAAGGGATGGGTATCAGTGATTTGTTGTATTTACATAATGTGGCGATGGTGTATTTTGAATTAATTTGTTTCCGCGCTGGCCCGCATGTCCCCCGGTTTACGTCGCATATGTGATTTACTCTGGAACAAATACAATCCACGACCTGTGATTTACAGTCATCATGGCGAATTGCAAAGACGACATTAGGAATCAGAAGTTTTGGCGAGCGCTCGTTGGTGAATTTATCGGTACTCTTTTCATAGTGTTTTTTGGCATAGGATCATCGATAAGTTGGAATCCACCACATACACCAAGTGTAGTACAAATTTCTTTGTGTT